TTGTTACTTAATCTCTGTGTAAGTCGCTAATTGTCAAAAGTTCCTCAAGACTCAGACGCGGGCGAAGCAGCAATTATCACGTCATGTATGACCACCGGCCATGAATGCCGGATCCGTTAAATGGAGCAGACACCTGGCCGCATAATGATTGCGGTCTATTAATGAAGCACCCTTGATGCCTTCATCACCCCTACTCGCGACTGTATTTGATCGAGAAGTTGAAACGCCATGTTCCAGTAATCACATCTTCTTCCTCTTCTTCTTCTTCTTCTTCTTCAGAACATCTAAAACTCTGACAATCCTGAGGCGTGTCATATTCGGCAAAGGCAGGTGCTAATGACGTAACGCGACATATGTCAACACCTCCTATGTCCCGTGAGGCGACTTCTAACAAAAAGTTAAATATTTTGAAGCCAATCCGAGCATCCTCGATCTGTCGATAGTTATCCTCAGAAGACAGGATGAGGTTTTCGGCAAAGATTTTCAGAGCCCCATTAGCTGTTTAGCACTGAACGGCCCCTGCAGTTTGCCTGTTTCTTCAGGGTTTTTGCGCAGACTATTGTGTGCCCAATACGGCGAAATGGGTTTGAACAACACCCCCACCAAATGTTTGTTATAACTGAGATCGTCAAATGGTACTTGATAAACCTGCATTGTGCGTGCATTCATCATACTAAATTATACGCAAGACTGCGTTAAGGGCAAAAACAGAAAAAAACTTACAAATTAGGCAAGTAAACGAGAAGTGATTTCGGTATTTAAGAGGTCACTATTTTCCGCACAGCAATGACCGATTGTTTAAATAAAACATTTATTTATACCTTCAAAAAGTTGCCCTATTTCATCTTTGATAGCTTTTGTGTATTCGAAAGGATATAACTGGAGTGGTCAAAGCAGTCAGATAACCATAGCATACGAAGGCAACAAAAAGTAGTCAAGATACCGGGCTTACATGGGAGAGTCTGCGTAGAGAATCTGAGTCACGGACCAGACGATTGGATTTTACAGTGGCAGGTGAGTCGTATTGCAGGCGATCTGACGCGGAGGCGTACTGCGAAGCTAAGTTGGAAAAAAAGGCAACATTACATAGACACCAAAAGACATACCCTCAGAGGCGAATCCTGTGGCGGACAGCCACAATGTCTATCCCCCCTTCGTCGTCTAAGG